ATGTGTTCCACTCATTTACAGTCATGTTGTCAAACCGCGCACAGTGTTTGTCGTCGGAGACGTAGGCGTCTGCTTTGCCGGTGTGGTCGTCGCTCACGCGGGCGTATTTGAAGAGTTTCTTATCATTGTGAGCCGTGGTGTGCATGATTCGCATCGCCAATAGGATGTCTTGGGTTTTGAAGTGGGCCCCCGCAAATTCGGGGCTGTCTGTCCGCGGAAAACCAAACAGGAAAATCAGTAAGGAAGGAGTCGCTTGGAGTTGCGCACCATTGGAAACTCGGAAGTTCGCCCCCTCGCCCCACGCTTCCTTGGCCTTCTCTGTGGCAGCCTTAAGCTCTAGAAAACGCGCCTTCATAAGACCAATTTTGGTCAGAGTTGGGCGCTTTCTAGCAGGGCCCTCCAGCTTCGCTCTCAAGAAGCGAACCAAGGGTGTATCCTCTGCATCAGCCTTTGCGTCGTTCGCGGTACGCCTCTCTTGAGCAACCTCGAGGGGTTTGCTCTCTGGGCCGGTAAGATTCTGGACATAAGTGAGTACCGCTATCAAGTGAATATTCAAATGAAACTCACGCCCGTTACGCCCGCAGCCTCGACCTTGGTGTCCTCTAAAGATTCCTTGGGTTCGAAGAAGATGTCGCAAAGGAGGCCTGCTGGAGTTTCCTTGAGCTTGTATTGGTCTATAGCACCAAGTTGCAAGCGTTCGGGGACTCCGCCATTTTCAAAGTCCCCCACGGTGCCTAGAGGCAAGTGACCGCCAAGAGGGCCTGTAATGGCTAACTTTGCCCTGCGGTCCTCTGCGAAACGTGTTGAGGATATGGAAGACAAGATAACATGGCACGAACTTTTAATCGGACTCTCTTGATCCAGAGCCAGGGGTAAAAGTGTCTTCAACGACGTATAGTAAGAGTTGTCGGCAGCTTTCACCACCTGAACTTGAGATCTCTGTGACGGAACGAGCCAGACCTCTTTAGGCTGAGCATCGGGCCCTTTGAAATGGACGATAACTAGGTGCGGCATTATTTCAGTTACATCTCACAGTTGCCCAGGACGTACGGTTCATCTCATCGGTGTTTGTTGCTGCCTCGGCCTTCTGTTTTCCAATGACTAGTTTCCCTGCCTTGGAGATCTCATCCTCGCTATTGCCCACTTCCTTCTCAGCATCACTGCTCAACGGCGACGAGTCTTCCGAACTCTTGCTCTCTTGATCGTCTGCAACAAGGGTCAATATAAGAGTCAGGAGACAGGGAGAAGCTAACCCTGTTGTTCCTTCTTCTTGGGGGCACTGCTTTCGGCGTTGCCGTTTCCGATACGCTTGAACTGGGGCGCTGGATCCGACTTGCCATTGCCCTTGAGAAGCTTGTCATGGGCCCTAACAGAAAATGAAAGATAAGTTGTTTCTTTCTGACTGCAACAGAATTAAAGCATTTACCCAGTGGGCGGCCCTTCAGGTAACTTGCTGAGCAAGGCATCGGCAGCAGCCTTGTCAACGCTGTTCTTCACTGTCGCTGCGCTGCCACTGCCACGCGGGTAGATAACAAACTTCTGGAACTCTTCGCGTTGAGCATACTCCGGCGCTTTCAGGGCTTCATTGATCAAGATTTTGATGTCTGGGACCCCAATCTTGTCAGGACCCTGGGTGCGAACCTCAATTCCGAGAGCCTTTGCGACAATGAGAAGATGCGGCTTGGTTAGCTTGCTGATTGGTCCAGCCTTTATCTGTGCAAGGAGAGCTGCGACGTCTGGGTCCATCGTGGATGAAGAGTTTGCGTAGTCCTTAGGTGCAGCCACGTGCGCGGCGGAGTACAACGGATCCCTCCGTATCCATCCGTTTCAGATTTGAAGTTATTTGTAGTGAATTCGGTGGAATACAGCGGATTCCGGCGGCTCGATAGGGGTACAGTGAAATTCAGCGAGGTTCGGTGTACGATCTAATCATATCAACGGTCATCACTGATTGGCAACGGCTACATTATCTCATCACTGATGTTCGGTGGATTTGATCTAGTCCCGACGAGATCCGATAATGTCCGGTGTACACCGATGTACACCGGCGTCCGTTCAGTGTCCGGGCATATAACTCCGTCGTCGCGTCTTGCTTTAGGACCACAAGCCCCTTTCTGCTTTCTTCGCCATGAAGTATATCGTCGTCTCCGGAGGAGTGATTAGTGGGATCGGGAAGGGCGTCATTGGTATGCTCAGGCATCCCCAAGTCGCTCTTTGTTAAATGGCATCAAGCCTCCTCGACGGGGCTCCTCTTGAAGACCACTGGATTAAAGGTTACAGCAATCAAGATCGATCCGTACATGAACATCGACGCCGGGACGATGCGCCCCACCGAGCATGGTGACTGATGCTCTTTGCGATGAAAAATATCTGATCTTTGCACTTAGGCGAGGTATACGTTCTGAACGACGGCGGCGAGGTCGACCTCGACCTCGGTAACTACGAGCGGTATCTTAACGTTACCCTCTCCCGCGATAACAATATCACCACCGGTAAAATCTACAAGGAAGTCATCGAGAAGGAGGTTCGTGGTTCTTGGGCGCATTTCTCCCGATTCACGCGTCATTGGCGCGAATTTACGCGCGTTGGCCCGGAATCTGGAGCGATGCCTATTGTTTCTGCCTCTACTAATTGATATTCGTGATCCAGCGCAAAGGAGAATATTTGGGAAAGACTGTGCAGGTCAGTAGTCTGCGTTCCCTCTGTTATCCATGCTTCTGACTGCCGTTCTAGATTGTACCACATGTCACGAACGCAATTCAGGACTGGATCCAGCGCGTGGCTCAAATCCCAGTGGACGACACGGGAGACGTGCCGGACGTCTGCATCGTTGAGGTATATACCCTGTTGCTCGATTGTCTCGCCATCTAACCAGGGAATAGCTCGGTGGGACCGTCGGTGACATCGAATCCGCGCCTTTTGTAGAGGCTATGCGACAGTTCCAGTTCCGTGTCGGCCACGACAACTTCGCCCTCGTCCATGTATCCCTGGTCCCCGACATGCACGGCGAGCAGAAAACCAAGCCCACCCAAACGACGATCCACTCCCTCCGGGGCCTCGGGCTACTTCCCGACTTGGTCGGTCCCCTCCTCGTTCCAAGAAATCGTATTCATTTCGTTAGATCGCATGCAGACTGCTTGGTCCGCAGCCCCTTCAGCCAGCGACAAAAGAGAAGATCTCGATGTTCTGCCATGTCGCGCCAGAACAGGTGTTGGGCGTTCACGATGTGTCGTCTGTCTACCACGTCCCGCTCCTGCTCCAGTCGCAAGGCATCGTCGACTATCTACGCAAGCGGCTCAACCTGCCCAGCCTGAACATTTCCCAGGCGATGTGGCAGAAGGGGGAGTCTCTACACAAGCGCTGGAAAGATATGACCACTGGGTGAATCCACTTTTCTTCTCGTTCTTTCACTTGCTGATCATGTCCAGGCAAGAACGGCTGTTCGACAGCGTTTCGGTCGCCCTGGTCGGCAAATACACAGACCTCAAGGACTCGTACATGTCTGTTACAAAATCACTGGAGCACTCCGCCTTCCGTGTCCATAGAAAGCTCATTATCCACGTTCGTTTTGTCCTCACCGCAAAGTCTCCTCACCGACATAGTCTTGTAGTGGGTCGAGTCTTCGGACTTGGAGCCAGAGATGCAGGAGACCAATCCTGCCAAATACCACGATGCCTGGCGGGCGGTCGTCGGTGCTGGGTGCGTCTTTATCATACAACACATTTGTGCGAAAGAAACTCACGCGCGTTTACAGCGGGATCCTTGTCCCGGGCGGTTTTGGGGTTCGTGGAACGGAGGGCATGCTCCTCGCGATTAAATATGCGAGGGAGCAAAAAGTTCCATTCCTAGGAATCTGCCTTGGCTTCCAGCTTGCAGTGATTGAGTGGGCGCGCAACGTGCTCGGAATCGCAGGTAGGCGCTGCCTCTCCGTTCTCCTCGAGCGTCGCTGATGAGTACGTGCGTCTAGACGCGACGTCGTCCGAATTCGTGCAGGACACCCCGTCTCCCCTGATCATATTCATGCCGGAGATCTCGAAGACGCACATGGGGGGTACGATGCGTCTCGGGCTCCGCCCCACCGTGTTCGAGCCCAGCACCGAGACTTGGTCGCGTGTGCGGAAGCTCTATGGTGGAGCTGGAAAAATCTGGGAGCGCCACCGCCACCGGTACGAGGTCAACCCGGACTACGTGCAGCGTCTGCATGATAGCGGGCTGATCTTCGCGGGCAAGGACGAGAAGGCTGAGCGCATGCAGGTGCTCGAGCTCCCTGGTTAGTCCTCCGTCTTTGTCCTGGTCTTGCGCACCCTGCTAATCGCTGTCTGTAGAACACCCCTTCTTCGTGGGTCTACAGGCGCACCCCGAGTTCTGCACACGTCCTCTGAACCCGTCGCCCCCGTTCTTGGGCTTCATTGCTGCGGCGTCCGGGCCATCTGTCTTCGACGAGCAGCTCGACATCCAGCTGCGCACCTTTAAGCCTCCGCACCCAGAGGACTCCATGGTCGCGGAGGCCGTGCTCCGACTGGGCATTCCCGTCGCCCACGGCAAGGTTGTGAAGGCGGCAGTGAATGGTACCGCGACCAAGGCGGCGGTGAATGGCACCGCGACAGAGGTCAAGGTCAATGGACAGTGAATGATTCCCCCAGCGGTCTTTGGCTGGGCTATTTCTCTCATCTACCTCCATCTACGTATTATCCTGCTCTCTATAGAAGTCATCTGTACCACCATTACATGCGCATCCCACACATATGTAGCCCTATAAATGAGGCGCCCACGCCCACGCATTTTTTGACCCCGCTTCTCTGCCCTTTCAAATCTTGCCTGCACCTTGCTTCCGACCGTTCAACCGTCGAGGACGTCCTAGGTGTAGCTATGGTGCTTTGGACTGTCGTTTCAAGTCCTCTACCGCTCGCCGAAATTTTTGAGTGAAAATGGGTGAAAATAGTTAAAGCAATTTAGTTCTGCCGTAAGTGGTAGATTCAGCCATTTACTTGTTACACATGTCCGGTATGGTGTATCGGTTAACATATGTGCTTTTCATTGCAATCTCCAATGACCTTCGCACGTGCGCGGGGTTCGACTCCCCGTACCGGAATCTGTTTTTGCCCCCTTCCTCGTATTTACATGATTTTTTGCAATCTATCGTTTTCTCGTCCGAGCTTGCCTCCATTTTGCAGGATGTCAGACACTCATTTGGCGAAGCAGCCATAATTGACTCAGGAAGCAAGGGTGCTGCTGTTCTATATGATACAACTGCCTACAACATGCAAGTACAAGGAAAAGAAATGATATAATGATATAATGAATGTGGTGCAAGTACAAATGCTAAAAGAGAAAGAGCGTGTCCATAGAGATACAAGATACAGAAGAATTACTCGTCCGTGGATGTGTCCGTGAAAGGTCATCTCCAAAACGGATTCTTGGAGCCAGTCCGTGAATCCGGCTTTGGTGGTGGGGCAGTCGGCGTCAGATAATAATCGTCAAGCGTGCTGACAGAAAAGCGGGAGGTGATATCGCGCCTCGAACGTACAGGCTCCTTCGGGTCAGGCACGCGCGCCGGCATGCCCGTTACCTGCGAGTACAGCGACGGCGCCGAGAGCGTGCTCGCCGACGACTGGCGCTCGTGCTCGCGCTGCTGGAAGTGCAGATTGTGGTGGTGGTGGTGGTGGTGGTGTTGGCGGTTATCCCGGGACCGCTCGCTGCGCGGGTACTCATAGTTCGCCAGCAGTTTGTCCATGTCGCGCTCGTCCGTCGCCTCCTCCGCCGCGCGCATCTTCGCCAGCTTCACCGCCTCGCCCTCAATGGGGGGTAACGCCTCGGGCTGCGCATGCGCCCGCCGGCTCGCGCGGTGCCCGAACAGCTTCTCGCCGAAGCGGAGCAAGCGCCAGCGCCACCCGACGGGGTCGAGCTGCCGCTTCGCCGCGAACTGCGCCGTGCGCTGCGCGCGCTGCTTGCGTGCGCGGCGGCGCCACAGCCAGACGATCACGAGGAAGATGAACGCGCAGCCGAGCGCCATGAGGAGGATCTCCCACCACGCGAGCGCGCGGCGCGGGGTGGAGGTGGCCGTGGGTGCGCTGATGCCGCTGACGCTGGGGAGAGGCGAGGCGCCGGGGGCGGTGGAGGAGGGGACGTCCACGAGTTCGGAGAGGCACACGCCGAGGCCGGGGATGACGCTCGAGGACTGCTGGCATGCTGCGGCGACGCACGTCCCCGCGCGAAGGACCTGGCTTGAGCTCGAACACGCGAGGCATTGGCTGGGGCCCGAGCCGGAGCAGCTTGAGCAGCTCGCGTCGCAGGGGAGACACGACGAGGACGTGGCGTCGAAGAACTGCGTCTTGCTGCATGTCGGGAGACAACGGCCGTTAGTGAGGACGGGCCGGGAGGAAGGGCAGGAGGAGCATTGGTTGAAGGAGGCGCCGGAGCAGCTGGCGCAGTCGGGGTGGCAATTGAGGCATGAGCCTGACGACGAGAATGTGTTTGAGGGACATGTCGCGACACATTTGCCTGATGCTACGAGCTGATTGGAAGCGCAGGTCAGGCAGAACGTGGCGGAGCCGGTACAGGTAGTGCACGAAGAGTCGCATGCTGAAGGAGGCAGTCAGTAAGAGGTTATTGACACAAATTAGTTACACACCTGTACAGGTCAAGTTGTCCTGCGGCGACACGAATGTGCCCGACGGACAGCTCGCGACACATTTCCCGTTCGATAGGAAGAACCCCGGCACGCAGCCAGTGCACTGCAGTTGGTTGACCGTGGAGATCGAAGTAAAGTTGGGGATCTTGCACGACGTGCACTTGGAGCCACAACCTGAAGGAAACGAGTCAGCGACATCAAGAGGGGCGACAATTGGAAACGTACTGTCACACTCGAGCTTGTTATTATCTGCGATCAACGCCGACCCCGCGCAGACACCGTTGGCGTCCGCGGAGACACAGGCGCCGTTGAACAAGTACGTGCCCGAAGCACACTGGACGCAGTCGTTGGAAGTGCCCGCGGTGCACGTCTGGCACGAAGGCGAGCATGGGGTGCAGTTCGCGCCGTCGGCGAATGCACCTGGTGGGCAGACTGTCCCCGACGACGTGGTGCTTGCAGGTGCGTTACACTTGGTCTTATCGTTCGCGTCCTGCGTGAAACCCGACTTGCATGCCGTGCACTCGCCGGTCCCGTCCGCGCACGCAGTGCATCCAATCTCGCAAACTATTTCCCATTCAGCAAACAAGATCTCACAAGAAGGAAACAAAAAAACTCACTGGAACAGTCCCCCGTCGACGTCAAGAAGAAGCCAGCCGCACATTGACTACAGGCCGTGCCGTTCGCAGCGGTCGTGAACCCCGTCGTGCATGTGCAGCTGCCGTTTGCGCCGCAGACACCGTTCACGCAGTTGCACGACGCCGGCGCATTTGCGACCGTGGCGTTGAGACAACGCCCGCTCCCGGTGATGCCGTCGTCGCACTTTGAGCAGCCGCTTGGGCACGCAGCGCAACCTGGCCCGAAGAATCCGGAGGCACAGGTCTCGCACGATGAGCCCGTGAACCCCGCGGCGCATGTGCACGTCCCGGCGGCGGTGCAGATGCCAGAGGACGCGCACGGCGGGGAGCATGCGGCGGATTCGATGTCGAAGAGGGTGAGCGTGCTGGGCGCGCTGGTGGGGAGCTGCGCGATGTCGGGGATGGACTCCCAGACGATGACGCGGGAGTTGCCGGGCGCGGGGGAGTTGAGGGCGATCCAGACGCTCGACGAGAGCGAGAGGGAGCGCAGGGTCAGCGGTGTGGAGGAGTTGGCCCCGATGGGGGTGGAGGGGATGGATGTGAACGCGGGCTGGCCCGAGTACAGAGGGCCGGAATAGATGGACAGACCGGGCTCCTGGGCCACGTTCAGCGGCAGAGCGGGGGAGCTCGAGGAGTTCTTGAATCCGGGTGAAGATTGAAGGGATGCGGAGGAGGATGTGAGGAGGTCATGGAGAAGTTGTGGGTCTGTTGTAGAGGTGTATTGCCCAGGAAGAAGAAGGGCGGAAGGCGACCCGGAGGCAGATATGGTGACGCCAACTAGAAGCAAAAGTTAGCCGGAAAGAAGCGATCGACATGCAAGCAAACGCACTGGATGTGTTTGAGAAACCCTGAAGACATTGGCCTGCAGTGCAAACGATAGCAGAGGTGTTGGTTGATGCCACTAAATTAAAGTCAATACATAACGCGCAAGAGGGAGGAAGCAGACACTGACGATTACTGACGGAGAAGAGAGCAGGTAGAACAAGCATAGCTTGCTCGTCGTGAAATTGTGGCAGATGGTGGTGGTAGCGGAAAGAGAAAGTGAGAGCAACGGTGCCGACGTTGCAGCGAGTCAATGGAGACCTCGGGCATTGTGGAATGCATCGTCCAAAACCTTTTGTTCCACTCCGAGCGAGGTCCGGTGGCCACACAAGGCTTGCTATTGTTCGAGAACAATGGGATTTTTGATCAAGCCATTATGGGCGCAAATCCGTCCATTCTACGCGGACAATGCTAGGACCATTTGGATATGGCGGGGCTATCCATTATCCTCGCAAGCAGCAGATGAAATAGACGGCGAAAGTCGGAGTATACGCAGATTGCCCCCAGAAGTCCGGATTTGGGCAAGTCATTGGGAATTTGAAGCCAAACACAGTGTCTATTTGAACAGGCCAGTGGGAGAGCCTGTATGAACAGGGTGAATCCCTTGGAATCAGTCCCGGACGAGCACAGGCGCGCCCTTGAACGACGAAGTTGGAGGACAGTGAGTGTTGTGATCTATTTGGATACCACGAGTATGCAAGCATAACCAAAGAGAAATAATCCATTTTCTGCAATTTTTCTGACAGAATTTGGACAGAATCGCTCCAAATCGCGTCCCGTACTTACATGTACGATTCACGCGACTGAACTGTTTTTGCCAACGCGCAGAGCCCGATAAAGATATTCTATTACTTTTATTGAGCAAGGAGATGGATGCCTCATAATATAACACGAAAATACTATACTTCAATAGGTTTCTAAGCATACAGCGCTCACGCTCATTGCAAGCCGTACTTCCCACCGCCGGCGTCCTGTTGGCCAAAGCCGCCGCCACGCCCTCCAGACCGTCCACCACCAGAACCGCCCCGCCCGCCGCCAAAGCCGCCCCGTCCGCCTCCAGAGCCTCGGTCACCGCCGTAGCCGCCGCCTCCTCCGCCATATCCGCCTCCCGAACTTCCTTTGTAGCCGCCACCTGAGCCTCCGCCGTATCCGCCGCCCGAGCTGCCCTTGTATCCGCCGCCCGACCCTCCTTTATATCCGCCGCCCGACCCTCCTTGATAACCGCCTCCCGAACCCGACGGCTTCAGTCCAAGTGGGCCGCCCTGAACACCAAGACCGGTGCCAAACTCGCCTCCCCGGTCAGATCTGCCTCCAAAACCGCCGCGGTACTCCGCTCCATAGCCTCTCCCCGCACCCGGTCGGCTGCCGGCATAACCCGTCCCTCTATCCTTATACCGCTGCGACTTGTATTCGCTGACGTCCACATCGTCGATGTCTTCGGCGCCGTCTCTCTGCGGCGCCGCCCCCCACGTCCTGCTGTCGGTAGCATCCCGGGTACGTATCCGCCCGCGACCCATCCACGGCGCCGACTTTGTCCGCTCAAACGACGGCATACTATGCGTGTCGCGCCCAAAGTGCTTCGTGCGCCCGTCGCCGAGCCCGAGCTTCTGCAGGAACGCGACCGAGACGAACGGCGGCGTCGCGAGCCCGCACGCGCCGGTCGTCCAGTCCTGGCACCCCTGCACGATGACCGGCTTCTGGATGCGCAGCTCGGGCGACTTGGCGAGGTAGTACCCGAGCAGCGACATGAACGTCTCGCGGATCGCCTCCTGGTCGAGCCGCCCGAGCAGCGTCCCGATGTTGCGCTCGATCTCCTCGATGAGCGGCGTCACGGAGCCCTGGAAGAGGTTCTCCCGGACGGGGGATTGCGCGGCGGAGAAGAAGGCCTTGGGGTCGTCGTCGTGCTTGGTGGCGAGCTCCTTGGTCTGCTCGGTGAGCTCGTTGACGGCGAGGGGCTTCAGCGGGACGTCCGTGAGCTGCCAGGTGACGAAGCCGATCTCCCAG